AATCCCCAAAAACCAGTCCAAATCACAAAACCCAAAACCTAATCCAGATTCTACCCAAAAGCAGACCCAAAATAATGCCCGGAGTCTCCCTTCAACGACTTTTTAATATTAATTTTAGTGACCCGACAACCGTGATAGAAAACCCCAACCAAAAAATAGATCCAAACACTTAACCCTAAACTCAAAACACAACCCAAAAACCAGCCCCAAAACCAATCCCCAAAAACCAGTTCCATTTAGTGACACGACAACCCTGATAGAAAACCCAAAAACCCCAACCCAAAAATAGACCCAAATACTTAACCCAAAATTCAAAACACAACCCAAAAACCAGCCCCAAAACCAATCCCCAAAAAACCAGTCCCAATCACAAAAACCAAAATCTAATCCAGATTCTACCCAAAAGCAACCCCAAAATAATGCCCGGAGTCTCCCTTCAATGACTTTTTAATATTAATTTTAGTGACCCGACAACCCTGATAGAAAATCCCAAAACCCCAAACTAAAAATAGACCCAAACACTTAACCCTAAACTCAAAACACAACCCAAAAACAAGCCCCAAAACCAATCCCCAAAAACCAATCCCATTTTGTGACCCGACAACCGTCATATAAAACCCCAAAACCCCAACCCAAAAATAGACCCAAACACTTAATCCTAAACTCAAAAACAACCCAAAAACCAGCCCCAAAACCAATGCCCAAAAACCAGTCCAAATCACAAAAGCAAAAACCTAATCCAGATTATATGGGCAGTGGCTTTGTTTTCCCATCAGCTCAAAACCTAACACCCAAAAAACACACACTCTAACCCAAACCTAGAACCTAACCCCAAGTAACCAAACCCAGCCTCAATAGGTTAAACCTGTAAACTATTAGTAAAAGCATACCCAAGAGTAAACCTCTAACCAACAGTATTTGTTTCTCATATTTTGTCTTGTTCAATATATCTTGTTATTGCTGTCAGCAGCATACACATTGTTATTCAGAGTTGCATTTTCAATCAAGGGGAAAAAATGGATGATCCAAGAAGCTGATTTGTGAAAAATGTTGAAACAAGACCTTGACCCAAACTCAAGACCTAAAACCACCAAACCAGAATTAAAACCATACCCATGATCTGCCACAATTTTTATTTACTTTTTGTTGACTTACACAACTTTGAGTGTCGTCAACAAAAATTGCATCTTTTGGAAATGTTAGGCTTTTCGAAAACACCACTTCCAAAACACAGTCACAAAACGTTAAGACAATGAGTTTGAGAAAGTACCTAGGATTTCAAAAAGATATTCACAGAAATGCTTCAAACAATAGAAGGTTTGAAGCAAATCTTGAAGAAATTCTGTTGGGAATCATAGATTGGTCTATATAGAAGAAGATTAACGCTATAAGATTTGAAGTGCTTAGGGGGGCCAATGCTGATTTGTTGATCAGTGAGTTCAATATTTGAAAGCACAAGACCCTAACCTCAAATAACCAGACCCTGAGCTACACACAAGACCTAAAACCTCTAAACCATAATTAAAAGCATACCATGATCTGCCAAACGCTAAAGTGCAGGTCTAGAACAAAAATCCTGCCTCTACAACCATAATTAAACAGCACATCCTCAACGGACACAAAACCCTTAAATCTCAACCCAAAAACCAACTTAAAGACTAAAACCAAAAGTTAAAACCCAACCCAAAACCTACTCAAAAAACTGCCCCAAAAACCAGCCCCAAATACAAAACGCCAACCCTAACCTAGAACCTACCATAAAAGCAGCCCTCGAATTTGTATGTCAATATCGTTTCATCCACCAACTTGCTATAAATAATGGAAAACAAAAATTATCCTCCAAAACCCATCCAAAATTTGTCAAATGCTAAAATATACATCCAAACACAAAACCCAGACCAAAAACAATCCCCAAACACCAAACCCAGAACCTAAATCACACCCAAAACCCAAAACAAGAAAAGAATCCTAACCCATTACCTAATCCAAATTCCCAATATCAAACCTGAACCTAGACCCTAACCTCAAATAACAAGACCTTGACCCAAACTCAACACCTAAAACCCCCAAACCATATTTAAAAGCATACCCATGAATCCATGATCTGCCAAATGCCAACATGCAGATCCAGGCCCAAAATCCAGTCTAAAAAACAAGAGTAAAACACCACTTCCAATGAGACGTGGTTTGCCTTGTCAAGGAAGTGTTGCTTTGCTTTGGAAAAGATAGTTTTGTTTAAATAAGACACTGCACAGAGAATAAGACACTGAACCGAGTTTAAGACGTCAAAAAATTCTGGGTATTTGGGATATTCTGTAATGTAATTATGCAAATATAGTTATCCAATTATTTATACACGCATTGAGGCTGAAACTGAAATACAGACCCATAGGCAGATTCATGTGTTAAACTCGGCCATTTGGTACGGGATGTGTGGTGACTGAGTTGGACCTATGACCTTAACCTTAGTTTGTTGGGGGACGGTTTGCCTAAGTTTCGTTAGAGAAGTCTCATAGTATTACGAAACTAAACACTATAAGCAAAAGTCAAAATGAAATCCCAAGTGTAACAGCAAATCCTACGCCAAAAACAGTGTCAAGGATTAAAGTTCAACGCGGCAACCACAATTGACCAGACCTCTAAACCAGATTTAAAATCATGACAAAGATTAAACCTTTAAACAGCAGAATTTGTTACTCTTTTTTTGCCTACTTCAATATGTATTATTATTTCTCTCAACAGCTAAAAGTTTTATGTAGCTAAGCGTTCTATATTGAATGAATATGTGATTGTAAAACTCAACGAATCCATGACCTTTTGTATGTGAATATTTATTCATCGAACAGTGTGCTATATCTAATCAAAAAACCAAAATGAGAACTGATACGCAAAACATACGTCCTAACCATGAGAATTGATTTTATCATTCCATAAAATAAAAATAGCATTTGTCATTAATCAAAAATCCAACAAAGCAAACAAAACAATCCAAGTAATCCAAATACAAACAATATTAAAAATGCAGAAACAACTTAAATATTACAATTCGATAAATAGAATAAAGAGAATGAATTAGGATTTTTGACATACCTCAAGAAATAATACTAACCTTAATAATGATGTAGGAAATTAGAGCAAATGAAATTGAACTTGGAAATTTAAACATGGGGATTATTCACTTGTGAATTGAAAACAATCTGGATACTTGCAAATAAGCATAACAATTGGACGAGAAAACTCATCCAAAAACAAAGTCTGTAAATTCGAAAAAAGCATGAAACAATTCTCTAACCTGGAACCAAAGAACACGTCTGTGATTCATTCCATCTCCGAGATTATTATTATTATTAATTAGGAGTATATTATGGAATTTACAACCCAGAAATCATCCAAACGGCCAAAAATATATTAAAGTAATGCAAATCAATTACCTGATTTTTTTTGGGGAAGCCGCAAATCAAATAAAACCTGTAGCAATGCATCGAGTGAATCCCTCAAATTCCACAATTAAATTGCAACGCCAATTCTAGCATTTACTCCAGCAGGTGAAGCCGAGGATTTCGCGAGTGCGGCCAGGTTGTGTTTGGATGGATCCGCATACGGCAAAAGAAAACTTGAAGGTACTGGATACACGGTGTTTCTAACGGCTGGGGTATATTGGGGAGGTAAATGATATGGTACAACACTAAAGCCTAGGAGTACAAGTATTTTGGATGGAAAAAATCCATAAATTTAATGGGTACCTAACCGGGTTTAAACTTTATATATATAGAGGGATATATGGAGAGAGAGAGAGGAGCATTTTGATACAAAAAAATATTACAATAATTCTACCACACTCTGTTTTGGGTACATACGGTTCCCCATTTGAAAAATTGATTGTTTCTACCCCACTAATCTCCTCCCTAAACCCAGGTCCCCAACCCAACCCCCTACCCACCCCCTGCCCCCCACCCTAAAAAATGCTGATTTTGCATGTGATGTTAAGCAAGAAAAAGTAAGACATGAGAAAGCAATGCAAGAGTTTTGCTTATTGCTTGATGTGCCTATGAATGGATGGTAGTGTTTTATCTGGTCAATGTGTATTAAATTCGAGGTGTTAGTCTTTTGCTCAAGTGTTATGAACAAATTATATGTACCATCATTATCAACGTGCGTGCAACGTGTTGAGCATCATTAAACATCAGGGTATCATGTATAATATTACTGTATTAATTAATCACTCTATGATGGTGAATAATTAAGTTTTCACTATGTAATACAATTTGATTATAATTGATCTTTAATTTTCATGAAAAACAAACTAAGACATTTATTTCTTTAAGGGCCGAAGTACAAAAAAGGGATCTCCAGAGAGGTCGGAGACTTGCCAGAGAGTCTAACTTTTAGGATTGTCATTAGTGACAGTGGCGCTAACGGTGCCAAAGTAACGATCCCCAAAATCACCCATGCCTGGAATCACATGTAAATCCTTGTTCAGTGACCTGTCGATCTCTGATGTCACTATTTTCACCCTCGGAAATCTTTCACATACTTCTCGCAACCCTTGAGGTGCCTGCAATGTACGTAACAAGTATTAACCCCGCTTGCCACAATTAACAAAATTTAGTCCCTCTATATATGTTCTCAGAGTTATTGTTCAAACAATCAAATTACTCCCTCCATTCGAAAAATGTTCTTTCCAACTCTTGATTTATACTTTTGTTAATAAAAGGATTTACTCACAGATATTAGATTTAAGAAAATGATGTTGGACTCTTCAACTCCTTTGCTAATAAGCACAGATATAGCTTTTACTGCAGAATTTCCTGATACATAGAATGTCATTGTATAAGAATATGTCATTATATGTGAATTATATTTAATGAGAGAAATGAGAATGTACATGTTACGTCTGATTCAAGATTTACAAAGATTATAAATCTATAGATGAAAATTAAAACAAAACTTGAAAAAATCAAATCGCAACCACGAAAAGAGCAATATGTCAAACTTAAAAGTGCATTGTGATGAATAAAAAATGCACTAATCTTATTTAAAGATAGAATGACAATATCGCATTAATATCTCTCTCCTTTCTGAGGGTAAAGCAATAAAGTAATGTTAAGATTTTTAAGTCAACAAAAAAGATGAATGTGCTAGCAAAATATGTGTAACTTACTTTTGATTCAAAGTACTCTGTATTTCAATTTTGTGACAGGTTGAACTTTTAGGATGAAAAAATGAATTTTAAATATGGAATCACCTGAAGCGAGAACAGGATCAAGCAAGAAGACATGACGGCTCGCAATATCTAATGGTAGCTTCTCATAAATCAACTATGTCCACCAAACATCGATACATACATGCCAATGGGAATACACTCAAGATTTGTTTGAAAGTCTTGTTTGTAATTAATAATGTTAGAGTTTTGAATATTTTTCAATGGTACAGACCTGCCGGCCACATTTACCCTCTCCAAGTATCAAAATTTTCCCAATTTTTATCCCTTTGCAACACACCCGAAGGGCATTCTCCATGCTCTCCCCACTACACGTGCAATGAAAAATAAGTTTTATCACTGAGTGACACAGAGCAATGTCCCTTAAAATGATATGATTAATGTCTTCTGTTATTTTGTATGGAATTATACTAAAGAAATAAAAAAAGAACCTTCTGATGACTGATACCCCACAAAGACTTCTGCAAAAAACCACCCCAGTGTAAACAGACCCTGCAAAGTGTTATGCATCATACCAATATCATCACTTACCATTCATTGGACCTTTCCTCATAGGCCTAATTAAAGGTGGACCTCGACTCTCCCAACTTGTTTAGTTGCATAGGGTCCCCAAAATCATGGGTTCAATTTTGGGAAAGAGGTTTTTCATATTATGTAATCTGTATATCCAATTAGAACCCATAATCCAATCATGAAATTATTGTTAGTTTTTTAATAATTGAAATCTTAAATTATTAAATGTAAATGAACTAAGGTGGCATTATCTTTAATTAAGCATATGGCTCTGAGCGTAATGATAAAAACAATGTAAATGATTTTTTTAAGAAATAAAGTACATAGTGTAAGTACTTCATTTAATATACATACTATTGTTTCTTAAGAAAAAAATAATCTAAGTGTACATTCTTGAAAAAATATCCATGCATTATGGAGCAATTTTGGCTAGCTTGTTGGTTTTCTACCTTTATATTTTCCTTCATTTAGAATTGAATTATTATATATAATAGTAGCTTTTATATTCTTACTTGTGATGATCAAATAATATCAACATGATACCAATCATAGCACTGATATTACCTGTAGGAGTAGTGACCTGTTTTTCTGTAAATGGAAGGTGTCCTAGACCATGTTCCACAACCTTAAAATAATACAAAAATGCACATTGTTATTGTACACATGAAGCATAGAACTTTGCACAGAGAAAAGTTGTTTATATACCATCCGAATAAGGCGGTCTGCATAAAATACAAAATTATGTTTTGCTGTATTGGCATCACGTATTAGCGTGTGCATCCCTCGAATCTAGAAACAGAAAAAAATATAAACAGATGAGAAACCTTTAACCTCACTTAAATTCTTGATCCAGAAGTAGGTAATGTAGGTTATAAAGGCTATTAACACCTGATATGTTGAGTTTATAATGAACACGTTTGGATAGATCTTGCAAAGTTCATTTTGACCGAGCTTTGTGCGGATGTGCTGTAATATCAAGTCTATTGCAACATTGTTCTCTGCTCCCCGGGGGATTATAATATCGGCATATTTCTTGGTTGGAAGAATAAACTCCTCAAAACCAGGTTTCACAAATTTGTCATACTGCAAAATAGTGAAGATGTGGCATGTAAGTTTCAAAAATGAAACAAATCCAAAAGAGGTGATTTTGCTTTCTCAAAACATCATTGCAAAACCAACCTATATGCAAAGATGCATTTTATTGCGTTAAGGGTTGTGAGTGGGCTCAAACATAGTACTGTTCTCACATGGTGCATATAGACATGAACAAAAGGATGGCCATTTTCTCGATTGATTGACTTAAAACAAACGCAATCTATACTAACTTGGTCAAGCACGCTCCGAACATTTCTTCCCCATTCTATAGTATCACGTTGAATCCTTCTTATAAGACGCACATCGGAATCTGCACACATTATCGGGAAAAATTTATTCATTTATTAACACATCCGTTCCAGGCCATTATAAGAGATCAACGTGTTATTAGGAGGGGTAATGAATGATTTTATATGTTAATTTACATGTTTATGTTTATACTTGTTAAATGCGAGTTCAAAAGAATAAACCTGTATCAACAAATAACTTCATGTTTAGTAGATTGCGTATACGAGGGTCATGAAAAAGTAGAATTCCTTCTAGTATGATCACATCAGATGGTTGCACCTGTTTTTTAAATAACAGCACAATTACTGCATTAATATGGTTTAAAAGACTATTAGTAGAAAGATTAGTACCATGCGCGATGGCTGGATGCAATTGTGACTCTTCAAATCGTAATTAGCAATGCTAATTGCTTGTCCACATCTTAACGTCTCTAAGCTTGAAAGAAGAAGCTCCATATCAAAGGCATCTGAAATTTATTAAAGTAACTTCATCCACACACACACAAACATTTTATCTGTGCTAAAGTAGAAAAATATTTTGTCTAGAATTTGTGTTTACCCGGATGGTCGAAGTTGTAATCATGTACTCTCTGCAATTGCTCATCGTTCAATGGACGATAAAATGATTCCTAAAAGAAAAAAACAAGTTGGATTGTATTAGCAAATGGGTATTGATCACATTAAAAAATTGAATCCAATCAATTACATCTCACCTGATTGATCAGAACAACGCGCTGTTTGTGAAACTCTGAGATTATGGTGCTGCAAACCTCCGTTTTTCCAGATGCTGTTCCGCCAGCAACACCTTTAGATGATCAAACTAATGTTATTTGAAATGAAATAATTAGAAAGATATAATGAATTGAAGAAGAAAAGAGGGAAAAAAGAATTTTACCAATGATGAATGGAACCTTGGGAGGAACTTGCTCAAGTACAGGATGGGCCGCCTGGAGTGAAAGGTGATTTTCTAGGCTGCTTATAATCACAGAGTATAAATCAGGTTCCATCTTATGCCGAAATTCAATAAAGCCTCACTTTATTTGAATGAAATGATAACAATTTATATTCTCGATCTAAATTTATGTTTTGATTTAAGATAGAATTAGAATTCAGAAACAGCTAGGCATATAAATTGAATGCAGAGTTGCTCTACGGCACAAGAGTATCACCATAGATGAAGACTCGAAATTGAGATCCATCTCATGCTTGTAAGAGACTGGAAAGTTGGAACTAAACTCACAGGATAAGCGCATGCGTTTTTCATTAGGCTAAAATCATCGTCCTGATGCAAGCTTTCAAATCCAAAAAATTTACAAATTGTTTTTCTAGTTATGTTAATATTGTAAGATTGGTCTTTTCGTAACTTTGTCATTAATTCATGTGTTTTTTCAGTTTTCCCATATAAAAACACGTGAGTAGTCTTCTCATTTCATACAGTTAAGTCATATTTCAATGACGTACATGAGTCTATAGACAAAATTGGGCACACTTTATTTCCATTTTGTTTACTGCATATATTGAATTCAAAAGAAGAAGAAATACATAACTAAGACCAAAACATGTTGCATATATGAAGATAAGACCTTCCATATTTTGTATGAGAATAAGAGTTATGGTATTAAATAATAACAAATAATAACATATGAGTAGCCCTCTCAATTCATACAATTAAGTCATATTTCATGTTGGTACACGAGTATAGAGACGAAGTTGGGCACACTCTTGAACTTTATTTCCATTCTGTTTACTGCATTTATTGGATTCAAAAAAGAAGATACACATAACTAAGACCAAAACATGTTGCATATATGAAGATAAGACCTTCCATATTTTATATGAGAATAAGAGTTATGATGACAAATAATAACAACAAATAATGCTACTCTGTAAAACATAATGTTAAATGCCAACCTGGAATTGTCAGCAAATAGTGCTTAAAAACAAAGTAAAATGCCAATACAAAGTATTCTGTTTAAATTTTACCCTAACAATACTCTATTTAGAGTGATTTAACCATTACACTAAATACCTTTATTAGAGTAAATCTATTTTTATGAAATTATGATTGACGCTAATATATCACCAGTGTGAAGTTCGGGAATACATTACTCGTATATAATATTACCATTTAAGTGATATTTTTTACAAAAGACTACATAGAGAATAAATTTTAATTATAAATTGCCATGTAGATCTTTAAGACTTCTTGATCACTAATATGAGAAAACACCTCATTAAAAAGGATTATTTTGAAAATTTATTGAAAAGAAAAATTGGAAATTAATGCCTATGTAAAAGACTAGGGCTCGTTTGACATCAACGTTAGAAATTAGTATTAGTGTTTTGAAAAAGTATCTGACAAAGCCTTTAGCGTTACCATTTTCATAATTAATCTATATCATTAAAATTTTATCCAAATCACTAATGCTAGTCAAAATTATTCTTCCCAAGCCCGTTCACGGAGCACCGTCCTCCAAAATTGACAAAATTAATGTCGGACATATCATAGCCCTCTGCTGCAGGGTCGCAACTCGCAAGAGTCTCAAATTTTGTTTGGATAAAGCCATAAAGGTAGGTGGCAAATTTTCCTCCGGCTTCATCCGCTCTTCGGAAAATTTTCCTACGGCAGGCCGGCAGGGTTGATCCATAGAAATTATCTTTTCGTCCTCTTTTTAATACTCTCCTCCCTATCTTTCCTCTCTCCCCTATCCAACCATATTGTAAGTGCACAACCAATTGGATGAAACAAGGAGAGCAGTGGCACTGATGCAAAGTTGTGAATCCCCTCTGCTCGGAATATCTTCCCTCTGCAGTCCAATCTTGAAATTTAACCCTCCCCGCTTTTTCAATTCCATCCATTCACCTTCTACTGATAGTATCAAACTCAAATTCGGTTCACATGTCAACTTTAGGGTTTCGACCAAGTCTGCACTCTCTTCTTCTTCTTCTTCTTCTTCACGAGGGGACTACAAAAGGAACACAGACCAGGTGATTCCTCCCTACAACGTTATGATCACCGGCGGTTCCAAAGGTGTGTTTCATTTTCCATTTAGGTTTATACCATTGTCCATGTTCTTAATTGATGGCCTTGAGCAATGAGCACCCTCGTTTGTTACCCATGGCTTAGTAGATTTTTTCTTTCAAGTGCTTGTTTGGTTGCCATGGAAAGTGTCTGGGTTTCCCTTGCTTCTTTAAATGTACTTTTGGACTGTAAATGCAACGGTATATCTAGCTTCTATCGAAGACAACCTCTCTGTTTTAGAGAAAGGTTGCATACATCTAGACCCCAATAGAGCTTGAATTATACTGGGTTGTTGTTGTTGACTCTTTGTTTTTTGAACAAAATCAATAACATCAACTATTCAATGTAATTGTCCAGCAAAGAGTGTAAGAAGAAAATGGGGAGAATATTATGGGACACTTGAAGTATGACATAGCAACACAAATATGCAACAAAGTTTTGACATTTATAAGACTCATTGAAGCTAATTTAGCGTCATTTTGTAAATGAATCTCTGTTGTATAGAATCACTACTTTTTTTGTCACTCACAATCCCCTTGCATGTACTCTCTCTCTCTCTCTCTCTCTCTCTCCCATTATCTCTCTCTTGTGCCCTTGCAATTATTTGTTATCATATCAGGAATTGGATATGCACTTGCTAAGGAATTTCTGAAGCCGGGTGATAATGTTCTTATATGCTCTAGATCAAGCAAGAATTTTATGAAATGATGCAATAATTTTTCAAAGTCTGGAGTTTTCTACACTTACATTTACTTGATCTTGTACGAGAATGATTTTTCATGAGGTAAACAGCTTAGCGTTCAATGAAATTTGTGTACTTTGTCATAAAAACAGAGGAATGATATAATGGATGATGCATAAGGAGTTAATGACTTTGTTTTGTTTCAATTAAATGTGATGTGTGCCCTGCTTAACAAGATCTAATTTGTGCTCTACTGTTCTTTTGTCCCATAAAAAGAATCATGCTCTACAAAGTTAAGAAATTTCAGCACTTAGACGGTCTCACTTACTTTTTATCTATTTTTAAACTATAAGCAATGTTCTTAAATGTACTAGGCACTATTTGTTGGACCTAGCGCCCGGTCAAATAAAAAACAAACCCATATAAGGCTTTGAGCTTCACTATTAAGGTTAAGATGTGTTTTAATGGTGATAACTAGTTTTGTTACTAGACATGAATAGTATCCTTACTGATAATTATTATGGATATTATTTATTGGATTGCTAAATGCAATTTATGAACAAACTGCATTCAGACAATTCAGTAAATGGACATTTAGTTTGAGAATGGAGGCCAGAAACTAATAGTAACCACAAGTCCGCAACAGTAAAAAAAAATAAAAGCATTAACACATTAAAATAATCTTGCTTACCAGTTACAACCATTTAGATGTAAGGGCCCTGAAGTGTTGAAATCTTCGCTCTCAAAAGCCATCATGTTTTTCTTTTCTATCTAGGCCCTAAATAGGAATCAAAACCTATACTCATTATAGAGCACAACACATGCATGTAAAAATTACAAAACATGATGAATAACATTCAGAGTTCTTCAAGCCGCACGACTAATGCAGAACCTAATGACACTTTTTGGTCCGGAATTAGTTGTCCACTTTCTATGAACTACGGAGTATCATTTTTAAGAATTACTATATTTTAAAATGTCAAATAAGTCGGTTAAGTCCTCGAAACGAGTTTGCCACTCAATCATGCCAGCCAACAATGTCCATACCTCATCTCCGAGGCTCCAGTACCGAGAGGTGAGAGGCTTAAGGCAGTGGAGGGGAATGTGGGAATGGGTAGACCTAAGGAGAGTTGGAAGGCTTCTTGTTTCATTGGGGTTTTCTTTCTCTATGTTTAGCTTGCTCTATGCTTTTATTTTTGTTCTTTGAGCTTTCTGTGTTACTCGAGTCGGGAGTCTCTATAGTCTCCCTACTTTTGAGTAGAGATAAGGTTTGCGCAGACCCCCCCCCCCCGCCCCTAACTCTACTCACGTGAGATTCTACTCGTTATTGTTCTTGTTGTTGTGGCATCATAATTTCTCTATAAAATTATTAAATCTGACAACTACGTCTCGACGGAAAAAGTATATATTAGATTTGTTTATATTTTAAACCCGAATGCCCCCTCCCCAATTAAAACTATGAATCCCCAACCGGTTCTATAGAACATAAAGTCCTCTCATTTTGTGGGTGGCGGGAGTGGGGACATTCGAGAGAAGAAATGAATAAAATGATGAAACCCATCATCTTTACAATTTAATTTAATTCCAACAAAACTACTTCAAAGAAAGCAATTAAAATCTCCAAAATATCATTGCATCACCTCAAAAAAGATCAATTTTGCGGTCCTTTACGAATCTACATTGATCTCGTAAATCTAGTAGCCCTAGCTCTAAACATGAATTGTTCGAAACAATGGAAAAACTTTCTACTTACGGGCTCCTTAGATCGTAGATCAAGCATTGAAAATACCACATTGTTTCAATTCTTTAGAGAAGGCATGGAATCAAACAGAAAAGTTGGGCACCTTTGATGAAGATGAAGAAATGAGAATCTGGGTGGGTCAAGGTCTCAAGGATATGATCAACAGATTTGATTTATTTCTACATTGAGTGGTTTCAATTTTTTATGGTTAGTTTTTTATTTTTTATATTTAGCTTATAATTAAATTTTTATCATTTAATTTTAATTTTCAAATTTTAAGTTTTTAATTTTCAATTCAAAACTTCAAATTTAATTTTTTTTATATTTATTTTGTAGTTTTCAACTTTTAATTTTTTATTTTCATTTTTTGATGTTTAATTCCCTAAATTTAATTTAAAAATTTTAAATCTCAAAATTTAAATTTTATATTTTTTTATTTTTGATTTTTAATTTTTTAATTTCAAATATTTAGTTTTAAATTTTTAATTTTTAATTTGGTTTTTTTGATTAGTCAGAGAAATCATAGTCTGTCATAAAAGTCAAAACTCAGCGAAAATTTATTTTTCCAATACACTGAAAGGCTATAAGACGTGTTTCTTTGTTACAACACGGAAAAAATCATGTGGTTTCCTTTAAACTCGTAGAATTCAAATTCTGGATTTTAGTTCTTTTCTTGTGTTATGGAATTGAAAAATGGAATTGGAAAATTTAGAATACGCTCTTCATTCCAAAAAAAACATTTTGACTTTTTTAGTCAAAAATAGTGATGCCCTTTGACCATAATTTGTGAGCAAACTATATTAAATTATAATATAAATTTAATGTAATTGGGTTCATCTTACAATATAGTTTTGCTATATATATATCAAATTTTTATAATATTTATTTAGATTATGTTTAATTTATGGTCAAAGAGTGTTACTGTTTGACTAAAGAAATCAAAACAAGAAAGATTATTTGGACCAGAGGAAGTGTAATTTAATTCCAAATCTACATATTTTTGCGCCACCAAACATCAAAATCAGAATTGAAATCTCCAATTAATTCTGCAACCTATATGCCAAACATAGCCTAAATTTATTTATTAAATGCTATATAATATAAAAAGTTGCATGATAATGTTACTCTCAACCAACCAATCAATTTCCCGTCCAAATGCACACATCTATAAGTAGTCGATCTATGAAGATTTCATCATCTACGGTTGGTATACGACAATCTAAAAAAGGTAAGAATTTCATGCTATATTATTACATAGGTATTATTAAAGAACGAAATAAATAGAAAATGGCAAGAACTAAAAAGGAAATCAGAAGCAAGAGTTGTGTTATATTGTTTTATTCTAATTCCATATTTGCCTTATTTTTTTGTTTTATTTTTAAATTTCTAACTATGAAAATAATTTAATTTAATTTTAATATTGAAATAATAAAAAAGGTTAATGGTAATGCGTTAAAAGGTTTGTAACATGATCAGATAAAAATCAAATATATTACATTTAAAAGTCTATATATATAATATTACATTATATTTATAAAATATAATACTAATTATTATTAAATATAAAAACTATTGTAACAAATGAAATAAAAATCAGATATAAAATTTGTGAATAAAAGTAATAAAGTAATCAAAGTAGGAAATATATAAAAAAATGGTAAGAATTAAAAAAGGAAAATAAAAGTAAAGGTTCCGTTATATCATTTTCCTTTTTTAATCCCACATTTGCGTTAAACTGTTTTGTTTTTTTAATTCCCAAATATGGAAATACTTAAATATGGAATACTGGAATAATAAAAAATATTAATGGTAATGTGTTAAAAGTTTTGTTACATATCCTATAAAAATCTACTCTGTAATATATTACTTTCAAAAATACGTGTATATTATATTACATTACTATATATAAAAAATAATATTGATCATTATTGAATATAAAAATTGTTAAAAATAAGGAAATAAAAGACTAGACACAAAACTTTTGAATAAAACTAATAAAGCAATGAAAGTAGAAAATAAATAAAATATGGTAAGAATTAAAAAAGGAAATCAAAGGCAAATGTTGCGTTATATTGTTTATTTTTTTATTTCCATATTTGAATTATATTTTTTTTTATATCTAAATACGGAAATAATTTAATATTTATGGAAATATGTGCTCATTTTTTTTATAAATTTATTTTAATTGAATTTAATTTTAATACCAAAGTAATAAAAAGTAATTATATTAATGATAATGTGTCAAAAGTTTTATAGCACGGTCATATACAAATCTAATACATCACATTTAAAAGTTTGCATATATAATACTAGATCACTATATAAAAAATTAATATTGATTGCTATTAAATATAAAAATTGTTATAAATAAGGAAACAAAAAACGGGATACAAAACACTACATTATTGTATAAAATAAAAAAATATTGATTAGTATTATATATAAAGAGTTTTAAAGAGTTTTGTTTTTTATTTACATATTTGTGAATAAAATAATAGAGTAATGAAAGGATGAAATAATTATATAAAATGGTAAGAATTAAAAAAGGAAATTGCGAGTAAATTGATTCTGTGAGCCGTTAGAACTTAGAAGACGTACTGTTATGTTATAAGAAGAAAATAAGAAGAAAATAAATTCTTTCTTATATAACTTCATCCGATAAAAATCTTATATATTACATCTAAAAGTTTGTTATATAATACGGATATGAAGTACTACATTACTATAAATATAAGAAAAATAATATTGTTATAAATAAGGAAACAAAAAACCGGATATAAAATAAGACTGCATTATTGTATATAATAAAATTATACTGATTAGTATTATATATAAAGAGTTTTAAAGAGTTTTATTTTTTTATTTACATATTTGCTAATAAAATAATAGAGTAATGAAAGGAGGAAATAATTGCAAAAAATGGTAAGACTTAAAAAGGAAATCACGAGGAATAAATTAAGTGAGACGTTAGAAGGTGTATTGTTACGTTATAAGAAGAATGGCCAGAAGATTCTTATTTATGACTGAGACAATATCTTCAAATGATGTACCACTAATATAGTTAATAAAGAAGATTTTTAAAATTTGTAATTTATATGATATTCATGTTTTACAGTAATAAAAAAACATTATATCTCATTATATGGTGTATTTCCTTTCTTATGCAATGACATCAATATAAATTTATAATTTAAATACGAGCCGTGCAATGCACGGGTGCGATACTAGTAGAAGTAAAGAGAGAAGAAAACATTTAGGTAGCAAATAGTGGAGTATGAAAACGAATTCGGGAGAGAACTAAAAGTATGACATATACGCCCTATATATTAACAAATTTTAAGTATAATATTTCCTCCATCACATAAAGGCCGTGTTTGGAAAATAGCATTTGAGATATCTTTTGGCATCTTTGACTGACTTTGGCTTTTTTGACCAAGTGAACCGCCAAAACCATTGTTTGGCTAATGACTTTTTCACTTGACATTTTGATCCGAAAAACCAAAATCTGAAATGCCAAGGTGAGTAGCATTTGGACTTGGCGGTTAGGAAAAAATTTTTTTTTAAATCATTTTTGTTGAAAGATATTTTATAATATATGTGAAAAATAAAAATAAAAGTTAAAAAAATTAAATACGAAAAAATAAAATGAAATTAAAAAATTTTATATTTATAATTCATTAAAAAATTTATATTTATAATTTATTATGAATTAAATGAAATTAAAATTTAATACTCCATATAGTAAGGATTTAATTTTTACATGTAAAAAAATGAAAAATAAATATCATGTCTATATATATATATATATATATATATATATATATAATTTTTTATTTAATTTTTTTAATTTAAAAAAAAAATATATTTATGATATGATATTTAAAAAAATTGTAAAATAAAATATACCATAAATAGAGGGATGTCCTTTTATGTAATTTTATTTACAAACAGCTAAGTATAAATGTACGAACGGGATTCATAGGCCGAACTAGAGGATCACTCGTTTGGAAATACCACCCGACCCGACGATGACTAGTTGCTGTTCTGTTGTTGCCTTAAGCTGACTACAATTTAACAGTCTAGGAATAATTGTCTTATACTAATTTCAGTTTAAGAGTCTGATTATCAATTGCCTTAAATTAATCACATTTTAAGAGTCTGGTTTTTCAAATAAAATAGTCTTAAACTAACCATAGTTTAAGAGTCTGGTTAACAATAAGAAATAGCCTTAACCTAGCCATAATTTAAGTGTCTGGTTATGAAGATAAGGATTTGGCCTTAGACTAAGAATAACTAAAAGCATTGTTATGATTTGACCTTAGACTAAGAATAGCTAAAAGCGTTTTTTATGATTTGGCCTTATACTAAGAATAGTTTAAGAGCGTTGTCACCATTTGACCTTAGATTAAGAATAATTTAAGAGTACTATTGAAATAATGAATATTGAAAACTCCGTACTATTTATGTTATAAAAAATATTATTGTGATAAATAAAATTGTTTGAAATATTTTAAATTTTACGATTACCAAGTTTATACTTAAGTCCGAAAGGGTTGCAGACCTGGACGAATTAGGGTGCTACAATCCAGCATTTCACTTGGGTCGCCAAATTGCGACCCAAAAAGGTTATGTTGCATACCGACACCGACGAAAGTATTCATCTCCTCTGCATGGCACAAGTGCTCTGCATGTACGTGTGTGGAACTGCTTCGAGGCTGCTTGCCTCCATGTTCTTGTATGATGAGGGGGAGTTGGTATAATTGGTGGGACGTACTCTGCAATCCTGTCGCTACGACCATAATAATAAAACCAATCCGTGTAGTTCTCTACACAGCCCTCTCCTACATAGTCTTGAGGAAGTGGCTCCATTTTATCTTCCACTAAATGGTTAAACTGATTATTATGCCACTCATTGTACATCGGAATAAAAGCATCTCGCAAAGTATTACGCTCATCTGCCCGATGTAGCGCTTCAACATAAGGGAATGAAAGATTTGGAATATGTATCATCATGCCGAATTGCCGGGCAAATCTCTTTGGCATGTGTGGCTCTATTATCAATTCAAATATGATGAGGCCTTCGTAAAATCACAACTCTGACAATAATCTGGTAATGTCTTTAAATTATAGGCAGTCCAAAGAACCCATAGCAAAGACATAGAGTATTAGTTTTTTTAATTTAAAATATAAATGTGAATTATTTAAAATACATACATGTCGAAGAATTGAACCGTCAAACTGATCTCGGTAGTTATGAAGTGAAAATCGTGAAGTGACATTGAAAAACCATCGTATGCGCCACCTGTATAGGAAAGGCAAAACATATTTTAGTGTTTTAGATAATCAAAATCATTCTATTCTTAAAAGCTGTGGAGCTGTGGATGCTCGACATATGTATATACAATGTGTTAAAATAATACTCCCTCTGTCCCATAAAGTGTTACCCATTTTGACTAAAGTTGAAATTAAGGGAGGGATAATTTTGTGTTGACTTTCCAAAAATACCCTTGATGTGATGGGTAAAAGTAGGATGTGATGTGTAGATTGTTAAGGAAAAGGTATGATGTGATAGGTAGGGTTTGAAAAAGTAAGGGGTAAAAGTGGTTTTTTAATAGAAATGGGTAAGAGATTGTGAGACACAATTTTTTTGAAACGTGTAAATCTTTTTGGGACGGAGGGAGTAGTTTTTTTTTCAAAATAGTTGGATGCGAAGATAAGAGGATTTTGATGTGTTGAGACAGGGTTTTCCCATCTTCATCTCCTTCGATTTTGATAACGTCTTTCTCGTTTTCAATAGCGGTGAATTAAGGTTGGAAATTTCCCATATCTCTAGCTTTCAGAATTTAATTCCTTTCTAAATCACCAACACCAAAATTAGGACTTTGATATTAGAGATATCAAAATCCCTATTTTCTTCTTGTCACCAAATACAACCCTAATTTAAGATTCACCCTCCAAATTCACTACACATAAGTATTTCTTTATACGGAGTATAACTTAATAAACCAACCAATAACTAAATATTAAAGACAACAAATAATTATCACATAAGCAACAATAAGGATTCAAAATTACCTCCCGGAGCAGTGACGCAGTGAAGCTGTGGATGCTCGACATATGTATATACAATGTGTTAAAATAATAGTTTTTTTTTCAAAATAGTTTTTTTTTTCAAAATTGATAATTTTTTTAAACAAAATGAGTTTTTTTAAATATAAATTTACTTATTTTGGCAAAGAATTGTTTTTAAAACCACATTCTCTGATACCAAAATGTAACACCCCAACCCGCGTAACCCGAACCAACGGATTAACGAACCGGGTTGTAACTAAGTTGGTATTCGCATGCATAAAGTTTCTTTAAAAATAAACAATTAAGTCAATTATATAATTTGTCCGTAAGAGTTTAACTAAACCAAAGTTCATCGAAGTAATAAAATAAGTCCAAACGTCGCGGAAGCATAATAAAAACAAAATAATGTCCAACAGTCCATAAAATCAATGTAAATAATGTAGTTTGATTATTAAGGCAAACAGGAGCCATCCACACCACGTCACCACTTCACTGCCCTCCGGGATGCCCATCCAAATCTGTATTCCTACCTGCGTGCAGTCAAACAACAACGACTACACGCTCAGCAAAACGCTGAGTGAAAATATACCTAAGCCAGCATTAACTCGCAGAATAGCACCACATTAACATACAATACAATTAAATAATAGCATGTGGTTACGGAGAAAAATAGCTTAAATAAACATAATTATTCTAGCACCTTCCATTTGAACATCATGTCATTATTTTATTTCACATCAACTAACTTTGAGTCATGGCACCCCAAGCGATGNAAAACGCTGAGTGAAAATATACCTAAGCCAGCATTAACTCGCAGAATAGCACCACATTAACATACAATACAATTAAATAATAGCATGTGGTTACGGAGAAAAATAGCTTAAATAAACATAATTATTCTAGCACCTTCCATTTGAACATCATGTCATTATTTTATTTCACATCAACTAACTTTGAGTCATGGCACCCCAAGCGATGCTATAAAAGGGCCAGCTCAGAAACCCAAAGGAGATTCACTTTGGGCGGGTTGAAGCCCTGTCCCTGCGATGCCAGGACAGGTCGCGGACTTTCGTACGTACGTTTTTAACCCAAGACCACCGGGGGTGCGACGACGCCCCGCAATGGCCAATTTCCTAACCATATCCTATTGGTGATTCAATCAGTCCATCCAATTCAGGTCCGCCTAATTATGCTAGGTGGCCTATTTCTCATATATTATTCATAATCCACATTATTCACCAATAAGATCAATTTAATTTAAACTACAGTTCACAATCCACAACAAATCACGTAGCGGCCTATCCGGGCCGAATACCCACGATTACCGTCATGCATAAACAAACAACCAGAATAACAGTTAACTCAACTTACCTGCGCGAAATCGAGCCCAAGGAATCCATCCTCAGGTCCGTTGCCCCCGCCGGAACAGTATCAATTACCACCGGATCAGCCGACAACCCGCTGGACCAACCCGGTAGCCCCAACCCGCTGCCCATTCAGGCAGCCCCACTCTGCGGGCCCAATGCAGCCGGCCCAACGGCCCAACGCAGCCGGCCCAACAGCCGGACCCGCCGGCCCAGCAGCCTGGACAGTCAGCCCAACGACCCGGTCAACCCCAACTGCCCGGACAGCCCCAATTGAATCCAAACCGACCCGTTTGCACAAAAATCAATCCCAATTGAAACCCGATTGCACAAGAGCTAACCCAATTGAACCCGAATTGACCCAATTAAACCAATTGGGTCCAAACCAAACCAATTGGATCCAAATTGGACCCACCGGAAACTGCCCGTACGTCGGCCGCAGCCACCGCCGACCAATCGCCGGAAAACAGCCCCCCAACACACACCCAATCCAATCCAATGCACAATCAACCACAAATTTCACAATCAAACACTAGATTGATACCAAAAGATCCTAATCTACGAATTAACGCCAACTATAGGTATAGGAATCACGGATCACCTCGAAATTTGACGAATTCAACCTTGGATTGGGAAAGACTCGCCGCTGCAACTCCTCCCTGGTATCGCCGGCCTGCTGCACGCGACGGAGGAAGAAGAGGAGGATGTCGCTGGAACCCCTGGAGTCGACGGCGAGTCACGGCACTGCCCTAGTCGGCGGAGACGAGCGAAAGAACGGGCGCTTGCTTCTATCCCTCGGCGATGCGCGGACGGAAACAGTGGCGAAGACCAAGGAAGATGACACTGGCGGCGTCGGCTTCCTGGTCGGCATCTCCGGTCGATGGTACATCGGCGGACACCAGGTAACGGAAGAGAGAGAGGGACGAGTCGTGCGTTACGCGATTGGATTTCCTTTCCTCCTCTTCCTCTTGGGCGTTTATTATCTAATTAAATATAATTAGGGTCAACTTTACACCACTTAATCAATTAGGATAAATTTAATCCTAATTACCTAATTCGTCAATCGTATTTTGGGCCCGGTAAATCCAATTCTCAATCTGTTTGCGGGGTCGGATTCAGAACAGCGAGCTCTACAAGGTAGGATAAACCCTCATTCATTAAGGCAAATTAGAAAATAATCTTCGTATTGACCAGCTTACTAATAATTTATATTTTATAAATTAATTAAAATACTAAGCCGGGTTTTAGGGCGTTACAGCCCTAATGCAAAGCAATCTTAACCGTTGATTCTTAGAAAAAATGAGATCTACGGATGATATATAATCCAGTGTTTTAAGATCGAATAATGAAAGTTATTTCTCTTGGTACCATTAATAAAGAAAAAGGTAAAAAATCAACAAACATGGAAATATCGGACCAAAATAAATATGTAATCCACCGTTGTATACAAAATTAAAAAGGAAAGAAGAAATTGTATTTTCTATGGCAACATTTTAAAAAAGTAAAGAATTAACAAACAAGGAAAGAAGAAACCCTTTTTTCATGAAAACGTTTTAAAAAAGTAACAAATTAACAAACAATGAAATATATATAGGACCGATGCTATTGTTATTATTATTTTTTAATTATTACTTTTCTTCTTATTATTGTTATTATAATTTATATTATTATTATTATTATTATTTAATAATCATGATTAAGTAGGGACATGATAAAGATTTAAAACCATGTTTTTTTATGAGAAAAGATTTTAAAAAGTAAGGAATTAACAAAAAAATAAAATATCGGACCAATGATATTATTAGTATTATTATTCTTCTTTAAAAAAATGCAAAGGAAGTTATTTTCAAACAAGATTGTGTCTTTAATGTAAACAAAATAAAAAAGGAAGAACTTCTCCCCTGACTTGAGTGGTAGCAAGCCCACTCCCCAGGATTCATGAGGAAGTTCACCGAGGTTCGAGCCCCAGCGAAGGCAGCAGCATTGGCTCTTTGTGCGTCATTAGTCATTAGCTTGAGAATAGTACTATGAACAGATACTACCTTGTAATAGAGTCAATAGCATTCAAAAAAAATAAAAAAGGAAAGAAGAAACCGTTTTTTATGGGAACTAATTAAAAAAAGTAAAGAATTAACAAAGAAATATAAGATTGATGTTATTATTATTATTATTATTTAAAATCGTGATTATTTTAGTACAAATATTTAAAACTGTGTTTTTTATGGGATTTGATTAAAATAGTAAAGAATTAATTAACAAAAAAGAAATATAGGACCGATGGTATTATTATTATCATTTAGAAAAAGAAAAGGAAGTTATTTTTAAATAATAGTATGTTTTTAATATAAACAGAATTAAAAAGGAAAGACGAAATCGTATTTTTTTAATGGGAATAGATCAAAAAATATAGGATCAATAATGTTATTATTGTTGTTGTTATTGTTATTCTTCAAAATCATGATTATTTTAGCACATGAAAAATATTTTTTTAAAAAAAGAAAAAGAAATTATTTGTAAACAAGAGTGAATTAACAAAAAACAAAATATCTGATGATATTATTGGTGTTATTATTCTTCTTTAAAAAAGAAAAGGAAATTATTTTTAAACTAGAGTGTGTCTTTAATGTAAAAAAAATTAAAAAAGAAAGAAATAACCATTTTTATGGTAACAAATTAAAAACAAATTAACAAGCAAGGAATTATAGGACCGATGCTATTATTATTATTATTCTTTAAAATTGTGATTACTTTAGTACATAAAATATATTTAAAAATATATTTTTTAATGAGAAATCATTAAAAATAGTAAAGAATTAACAAAAAAGAAATATAGGACCGATGACATTATTATTATTATTATTACTTAGAAAAGCAAAGGAGGTTATTTTTAAAATATAGTATGTTTTCAATGCAAACAGACTAAAAAGGAAAGACGAAACCATATTTTTTATGGGAACAAATTTAAAAAACTAAAGAAATATCAAAGAAATTGTATTTTTATTGGAACAGATTAAAAAAGTAAAGAATTGACAAAAAAATCTAGACTGATTATATTACGGAGTACTATTTTTAATATTATTCTTTAAAAAAAGAAAAGGAAGCTATTAATATTGGGCCTGTTTGGGAATAGCGTTAGTGATCATCGTTAGCGTTTTGAAAAGGCTATCTACGGGCAGCGTTTGAGGTTAGCCTTTTTAAGTAATCTACACCGTTAAAATTTTATCCAAAGCGCTACAATATATGAATGAAAATAAAGAGGAATGGTTATTCTAATTTTCCTTAATAATATATTTATTATTATTTGTAGAACGGACATTATTAGATAATTGATGGTGTGGTTGAGATTGAAAGCATAGTTGAATGGTGCTACCTTGGTTGTAAGACATGCAACAGTAAATTTATCCCAAATGGTTTATGATTTAAATGCAAGAAATGCAAGAGATATTATCTCGATGGAGTGTATAGGTTATATCATTTATATTTTTTTAATTAAATAAATTTACAACATTTTAAAATTTTAATAAAAATGATATTCTATTTATTAGGTACAAGGTAAGCGTATGTGTTATAGACAACTGGGACAGTGCTTCTTTATTACTTTGGGATAAAAAAATGTGTGAACCTTTTCGGTAAGCAAGCTAGCATGATGAAAATCCATGGATAATATAACGACATGATGACCCAAGAAAGATTCCAAAGGAGATTATCGGAATAATTCATGAGAGTTCTCTATTCAATGTATTTGAAAAGGTAGGTATCGAGAATTAGTCTAATTATGTTAGGAATAATTCTTATGGAGTGTATGACCTTATTTGGGATAAGTCAATTATCACAAAGTATGACTTTGAAACTATTGAAGCAGACGATGACTTTGACCAAATGTGTAAGTAACATGTCAGATTATTATAACAGAAACCGGTGTTTAGTCATGGACAATCATATGTTGCGGTTTCAAAAATAACAAATCGTAATAGCTTGAAGATTCTTATTGACGATGTAGAGCATGTTTCCACAAGATATGTACTACTAATGTAGTTTATAAAGAAGTTTTCCAGAATTTGTAATTTATATGATATTAATGTTTTACATAAACAAAAAAAATTATATTTCATTATATGGTGTATTTATTTACTTTTATAATAATGCAGACATAAATTTATAATGTTAATATAAATCATGCAACGCACGGGTGTGATACTAGTAACATTTAAATAAAACAAATATTTATCGTATTGAGCGCCATGCGGTTCGTCTTTTCGAAGTGGGCCATATCGATTGTTGTCGAGCACGCAAACTTCGGGCCTTATTAGAATGAGGCGTGACCAAGCCCAAAGCTGTAACAACAAAGAACATCCGCAAAATCTAGGCCTCTCGGATGTTTTAAGTGCAACTTTACACAAGCTGCGATATAAGTTTCCCAGAACTGCCGAACCCCAACTAAACTGTGCAGTCATCTCTAGAGTACGTAGTAGAGGTAGAAACTCTATAGGGACAAACTGACCAGAAGCAATCGGGAACAAAGTACCCACGAGGAGTTGTAATACCAAACTAGCGGTATATCTCTCCGCTCCCTGTCTGTGTTACCAGGCAAAATCTGTCAAGTTGTCAATTTTATTCTCTAGTGCGGCCAAGTTAAATATGGCTTGTCCAAGATGTGTTTCTATGATATGGAATCAAATAACTTCACGAAAGAGTTCACGATTGGTATTCAAATTAACCATTTCCTCAAAACCTACAGGTTCCCCGTCTTTTCTTAAACCCATTAAACATTCAACTTCCTATAAAACAGGAAGTGAAATGCATGCACTTTAGGCCTCTACCTTTTAACGAGGACCGTAATAAAACTATGGTCTATTTTAATGGGGTGCACCCGATGTAACCCATAAAACCCACACCTTCTTAAAATTTACACAACCCGATCATCCTTAATCTTTTCTAAAATACGAGAATCATTTTGACATACTCATACTTTTTTGTCTACAATGCTTGGTTCCGCCCAAACACGACGGGATGGATGAGTATTTTGGAGGGTGAACATAACATCGTTCATCGGGCTGGCAAGTTGACGTTGTATGTCGTCCATCTACATAAAGAACAATAATGAATTAATGATTATTTCCATCAGTAAGGTTTCAATGACATTGCCCGACAATGTCATGGGATGACCCAGGGCCACTCCGGTACCCCGTTGGTAAAATTGACGGTTTCTACCCCCTAACCCCCCGGTAGACCCCCACACCTCGCCCCGACCCAAACACACCCCCCACACCCTCCAATTGAACCCCACAAGTTGATTTTGACATTGGATTCAAATTTTGACTCCAAAGTCAAAATCAACTTGTGGGATGCAATTAGAGGGGGTGGGGGGTTTACTAGGGGGTTAGGGGTTAGGAATTGTCAATTTTACGAACGGGGCACCGGAGCGGCCCCGAGTCATCCCATGACATTGCCGGGCAATGTCATGGGAACCTTGGTGTATTTCCATATAGAGATTATAAATTTAAATTAATACTATATATTAGGGTATTAAATAAAAATATACCCTTTGGTTAAAAATGAAACACGAAAAGAGGAAAAGAGGTGGAGAGGACACAAGAGTCGTCTTCTTTGAACTCACTCTTTATATTTGAAATTTTAGTTAAATCGTGTTCGGCAAACACAGGTTTGACTTTAGCATATTTAAATCCGCACGCAATAGCCAAGAAAGACAGCAACAAACTCACTTTATCAACTAGAAATATTTTAAAAAAGAGTAAATTCTCAAAATAGTCCTTTGTAATAAGGTGTTTTCCCAAATCAGTCCTCAATAAATTTTAATTATCTACGTGGTCCTTTATAATTGAGATTTATTCCCAAGATGGTCCTTTGTAAATAATTTTACTCAATGAGGATTAATTGAGGGTATTTTGGTATTTTAATCCTCTAAATTTAGAATTAATTCTTAAAATGATCATTTATTAAGAAGTGCTTTTCCAAAATGGTTTTTTCTAATTAAAGATGTGTATTTGATTTGAGATTTAAAAGATTTTTTATAAGTTTTAAATAACTCATTAATTATTTATAGTCAATGTATTTTTTCAATTTTACATTTAGTTGTACAAAAATAACTGTTTCGAGAATATACTTTAAATTTGGATGATCAAAATACCAAAATATCTCCCGTTAATCATCATTTGACTAACATTATTTACGAATGACTGTCTTAGAAATAAATCTCAATTATAGAGGATCATGTTGGTAATTAAAACTTATTAAAGACTGAATTGAAAAAACCCCATAATTCAAAGGACCATTTTAGGAATTTACTCTTTAAAAAATAAAAATTGACAAACTACTTTATTCACCCACGGCCCACAAAATGTTGGATAAAGATAGGTGGCTAATTTTCCTCCAGTTTCATCCGCTCTTCTCATCCTCTTTTTAATGCTCCCCTCCCTACCTTTCCTTCCTCCCCCATCAGACTACACTGTAAGTGCACCAATTGGACGAAATAATGACAGCTATGACCCTGATGCAAAGTTCTTCACTTGTGAATCACCCCTGGTCTGAATCTTCTTCCCCTTGCAGTCCAATCTTGGAATATAACCCTCCCCGCTTTTCCACTTCCATCGATTCGCTTTCTACTGATAGAATCAAACTCAAATTGGGTTCGCATGGCAACTTTAGGGTTTCGACCAAGTCTGCACTCTCTTCTTCTTCTTCATCACGAGGGGACTACAAAAGGAACACAGGCCAGATGGTTCCTCCCTACAACGTTCTGATCACCGGCGGTTCCAAAGGTTTGTTTCGTTTTCCGTTTAGGTTTGTACCATTGGCCATGTTCTTGATGGCCTTGAGCCTCGTATGTGCCCACTGCTAGTGGCTAAGTAGATTTTTCTTTCAAGAGCTTGTTTGGTTGCCAATCTTGCCGGGGAAAGTATCAGGGGACTGTACTTTATTAGCATATGCATTCTCAATTGATGAATCTTATTGTGAAGAGCTAATGCTATGGTACAACTGTGGGTACACATATCTCAACCGAGAGACTTTAATGCTCACTAATTAGAAACAAATTGCTCATTGAATAGAAATCATGTGCAAAGGAATTACAAATAAGTTGTTCGCAAAGGGCCTTGCCCCATTGCCATAACAGGCCAAAGAAAAACTTATATGCCCACTAACTCGAAAGGAATTTCTCACTAACTCGTGGTACAGGTACGATAGTCTTGTAAGATAGAATTTTTGTATTTTAGATTATTTATTCACTATTCGGCTTCATCTCACTTCTCTTTTTTGGCCATCTTCAAAGGTTTTTCTCATTTCTCTTTAAGAAAAGAAAAGAATTCCTGGGTATTGACTCTTTCTCTCCATATGCCGATGGAGCTAAAAAAATTTATTATTGGTAGCATTTTAGGTTTAGGCACATAATGGACTAAATCAACGTAAAAAATTGAATTTCCCTTGCTTCTTTAAATGAAGTTTTGGACCATGAATGCAGCAATATATCTAGGTTCTTGCAAAAGCAACCTCTCTGTTTTAGGGTAAGATTGCATACATCTTGGCCCAGACCCCAGTAGAATTGGAATTATACTTGGTTGTTGTTGTTGACTCTTTTTTTTTTTGAATAAAATCAATAATCATCAACCATTCAAAGAGTATAAAAAGAAAATGGGAAGACTATTATGGGACACATGAAGTATGACATAGCTACACAAGTATGAAACAAAGTTTTGAGATTTATAAGACTCATTGAAGCTAATTTAGCATCATTGTGTAAATGAATCTCTATTGTACAGAATCACTACTTTGTTTGTCACTCACAATCCCCTCAAATGTACTTTCTTTCTCTCTCTCTATCTCTCTCTTGTGCCCATGCAATTATTTGTTATTAGGCTTTTCTCTTCATATCAGGAATTGGATATGCACTTGCCAAGGAATTTTTGGAGGCGGGTGATAATGTTCTTATATGCTCTAGATCAGGCAAGAATTATATGAAATGATGCATTAATGCTTCAAAGTCTGGAGTGTTCTACACTTACATTTACTTGATCTTGTACCAGAATGATTTTTCGTGAGGTAAACAGCTTAGCACAATGAAATTTTTTGTACTTTGTCATAAAAACAAAGAAATGAAATAAAGGGTGTATAAGGAGTTAATGGCTTTGTCTTCTTTCAAATAAATATGATTTGTGCTCTACTTATCAAGATCTAATCTGTGTTACTATCAAGTAGCATATTCTTTGTTTGGCCCGTAAAAAGAATCATGCTCTACAAAGGTACAATTTTATAGTAAGGTACTAGTGTACAACTATTAGGAATAATCAAGTATAGCTATAGTTTATAGTTTATATTTTGGTTTAACTAAATTCAAAACAATTTTTTTGGCCAATTGTTTTAACAAAAAACATCAAATATGATTCAAATGATTTTCTTTTATTCAAATAAGACTCTTTTTTGGGACAAAACTGATTTCAAACACGTCTCTTTTATTTGGGACGAAGGGAGTATAATTTACATAGAATTGAAGGTTGCATTCTAGGATTTCTAGCAACTTAAAATACAATGTTGTTGACTTACTTGACTTGTTTATGATATGATGAGAACATGGTGCGTGACAAAGAAGAGTAGAGAATGAATATATTAATAAATGACCTATTGACATTATCTATTAGTTCATGTATTGACCCCTATTGGTTTGGGATAATGTGTGGTTGTTGTATTTTGCTTTGCAATGTAATTGCACGTCTCTCAAATAATTTGTATTTTTTTTGTTCTTGGTAAACAGTTGAAAGAGTGGACACTGCACTTCAAAAATTAAGGGAAGAAACAGGGAAGCAACATGTGTGGGTATTTTCATCATGACTGTTTTTTAGTTTACATTTTCAACTTATTATTACTTCTTAGCATGCTAACATGGAAAGTATATCAATATAACCAAAAATGCTCTTCATGATGCTAAAACAAATGTTAGAACTTGTGAAGGATTCACAAAATAAAAAATGATATTTCAATTAAAATATACTCTGTAATTCATGTTTTAGGGAAATACTCCATAATTCTTAACCAATGCTTAAATGGATAACTTTTTAGATAAAAATGATTAAGGAATATGTTAGAATGCTCGAGGTTGAGCCTTCTTTTTCAAAACTCTTTTACACGTTATTGGACGAGAGTGGAATTACAGAGATGTATTTTTAATTAAATTTGCATTATGTACTGCTTCATTTGTAAAAGTTTTAATAATTTTCTTTTTGTACATTTCGATAAAACAATTTTACTTAAGTTTGTTTATGTAAATGAGCTTAGCTCACAAAATATATTATTTAATGTTGCGGAGCAAATGCAATTTGATATAGGTTTTTGTTACAAATGTTATGTCTATGGGAAATATCTTAACAACAAGAAGTTGGGAGACGCCTATGCGGCGATAATACTAATGCATGTATATCAAATTTCATTTTTCCATAATAAATCTTAGTTTACTTATGTTTTTTTTAATGTTCTATCCATAAAATTTACTATGTCCTTGTATTTTATTTTTGACATAGAACTTTAAACTATAGCGTATATATCTTTAAATATCTTTTCCTAACTTCCCTACACGCTTACTTATTATACTTTTTATCAATCGACCTCATCTTTCAACTCCATGATATGACAATTTGAATACAGTATTTATAATGTGTTTCATATTTAAAGCATTGGTTAAGAATTACGGAATATTTCATTAAAACAACAATTACAAAGTATATTTTAATTAACTTATCATTTTTTAAAAAGTGATATCATTGTTACGATGGTAAAAGTGATTCTTTTAACACTGACTACAAGTGCCATAATATGGAATTGGTATATTTGGAGATTATGTGGTTCTGCGTTTGACCCTGAATTAGTTTCTACTCTCTTTAACCTCTCCCCCACTAATCGTACCCCCTGCACTACCACCCTTCCCCAAAGAGGGGGCCTAGGGGCTTGGGATTAGGTGTAGGAGGTGGGGGTTTAATGTTGTAGAAGATGTAGGAACAACCTTGGATAATGTTGGATTGAACAAAGCACTGTACTGTCTTCAAATAGACCAATGTCATCTTATGACATTAGTTGCCAATGTCAATATAGTTGGTTCGCTTTTACAGTGAGATTATTTTAAGACCCAAATCTGGTGTTATAATATTACACCGGGTCCATTTGAGGTTCCTACGATGTTCTATTCAATCTCAAAGTGAGTGTTGAGGTGGGGCACATGGGCAGGATGTTGTACCCAAACTTAGGATAGATAAACAGGAACAGATTCACTCAGGATTCAGAGCTATGGAATAATCGATTAGCACATTTGGTAAATCGATTATTAGTGTTTAGCTCAACAAGAAATGTTCAGAGGAACCGGATAGTCGATTGACACTGCAAGACAATCGATTATGTGATGTTGCAGATTTTGAAGAAGAATCAGAGGGCTACAATAGTCGATTATCAAACAATGATAATCGATTACTTATAGGTTCAGGACCAGGATTAGAAGAAAAGAAGGGAAATGTTTTGTGGTTTTTGTATAAGGATAAACCAAATAATATGTAAGAGATAAACACACTCTTTATATATATATTTGGGGCTATTATCTATTTTATACAATAATAATCACTATTAAAGTATTAAATAGACTCCTAACACACACTCAAAAGTGGCCAACTTTAGAGATATTTCATTAGGAAATGGATTGAATTAGCTTCACACCAATTCAGGGAATACTTCAAGAGTAATATTGATAATGAAAATGAGGTGATCTTTACAAGGCTTCATGGCCGAAATATATAATGCAAAACAAGGGAAATTACACTTTACTTTCCTACAAATCATGTGATTAATATCCATGTATTATTAATCTTAGTGGGCAGCACTCATTGACCCGGAAAAGGAGGTTAAAAGGCCGGGATTTTTGGCTTAATATGGATCATTAATTCCTGCCATGTGAGAAGGGAATCAAGGAAAGTTGTAACTTTGACAATTAAGGATAATATGACAAAGTTTGCACTATTTAATCAATGGTTTTGATTCCTTGATGTTTTTATCTCTATCCTTGGTAAATGGGGTTGTGTTTATGGATATTTGGAGTGGGAAATTCGGCCATATGCTGAAGGATATGAAGGGGATTGGTTTTTGAACAACAGGACAAAATCA